TGCTGGGCGCATGGCAGTCCATGCCCAAGGTCCCAAGAGGAGAATGGAGGAGAAGAGATTGTGGCATGGCCATCCCCTCTGGGGGATGATTTCTCGCTTTCTGTCTTTCTGTCTCTGTCTTTCAGGCAAGCGCACGCACCCTGTAGCAAAAAACTCTCCAAGAGGTAGGACGGGGGGGGGGGGGAGAAAGAAAGAAAGAAAGAAAGCAAGAAAGAAAATTCACTGTAAGTTCACTGAGAAGAAATAAACATGGTTTCTGTAAAAAGAAAACATGCCAGATTAAGAAATTAGAGTTCTTTGAAAGAATAAATCTTCAAGAAAATTAAGGGCAGTTAGTGGTTGTCACTTATACTTCCACAGTGAAGACTATTTAGAAAGCTCACTTCGAACCGAAGGAAGAGTTATGAAGAAAGAAATTCCTTCAAAAGACAGAAATAAAGTGGGGAAAAAAAAAAAAAAAAACTCAAGAATTTGAACTAGGAATCATTATATAATGTTTTACACATCTAAGTTACTAATCTTTTTTTAAAATAACTTTCCATTTCATCTTATTTATTATTATTTTTAAATTTGACTGGAGAGCCACAGAAGGAGAGAGAGGTCAAGTGAGAAAGCAAGCTGCCAGGTCTGGGACTTGAACTGTGGTTGGCCATGTGCCATGGAATCCAGTGCCCTTAACCACCACACCACCTGCTGGCCCCATTGTATAATGTTTTAAATGATCTAGAGAAAGGAGTACATGAATGAAATGTCCAGGTTAACTTATGGCACTATTCCCTTCTAAGAATACACTATAGACAGTGAGTCTCAATAGGTGTCAGTAATAGATACCAGGGAATGTTATCTAAAATACTCGAGGTGATGAGTATAAACTATAGGATGGTTTAAAAAAAAACTGTTTCTAAGAGATGGGAATACAAGGTGCTGCTACATTCAAAAGGATCAATATCAGAAAACAATGAATGCATTAGGAAGACAATTCAAATTTCATATTCTATCCACATGCCTGATGTATTCACATTGAAACAGCATGTGTTGGGACCAGCAGATGGCATAGTGATTATGTCACAGGACTCCCACATGGCTAACCAAAGTTCAAGTCCCTGACCTGGCAGCTTGTTTTCTCACTTTTTCTCTCTCTCACTCTGTCCCTCTCTGGTCAAATTTAAATAAATAAAGTTAAGTAAAATAATTCTTTTTAAAAAATGAAAAAAGGAAGATCTATTATAGGTATCTAAAGGAAAGGCTATTTTAGGATATAGTCATCCCTCAATATTCATAGGAGATTGGTTCCAGGACCGACATGGATACCAAAATCTGAGGATGCTCCAGTCCCTTACATAAAATCTAAATAGTTTGTAATATGTATAATATGGCATGGTATATTAACATAAAATCTACGCATATCCTTTAGGAGTTACAGAGAAAACACTACACATGATTTACATATACTTTAAAGTATCTCTTATAAGATTATAATACCTGATATGATGTAAATATTAAATAGTTGTTACCCTACATTGTTTAGTGAAAAATGCCAATATACATTCAGTACAGACACAACTAATATTTTTTTGAATAGTTTTGATCCAGTTGGTTGAACCTATGAATGCTCAGCCCTCAGAAATGGAGGGCCAGCTGTATATCCCCAATTTTAATGCTGACTTCTTGAATCAAGTCCTTGAAGTACATGCTTGATGCCTATATCAGAGACAGAGTCTGTACCGGACAGACAATGAGTGTGCTCTCTGTGGCAAGTTTTCCCAAGGGTGGCAGGAGATGGGTAGTAACATTCAGAACATTTGAAAGCTGCAAAGGCCCATGCCATAAATTATTCTTTTTTTCTTTTTATTTTTTTGAGAGGTTTTGGCTATAGGGTGCGTGCGCTCGCCAGACAGAGACAGAGCGATAGAAAGCGAGAAATCACCCCCCAGGGGGGATGGCCACACCGCAATCCCTGCGCCTCCATTCTCCTCTCGGGATCTTGGGCACGCACGCACACGCGCCTAGCGTGAGTTTTAAGCCACCAGGTCCAGGACGCGAACCACGTTCGACTACATGGGAGTCCAGCGACATAGCCATTATGCTAACTGCTGGTCCCCTATAAATTATTCTTGTAAGACTATCTAAAACAAATTTTCACAGTGAAAAAAACAAGGATAATTACTGACTACAAAGGTAAACAAAGTTTTAGTATATCAGTCTGTAAAATGCAGGATAGATGGCAGAAAGAGGAAGCAAGGGAGACAAAACAAAAAAGGTCTTTAAAAAGTACTTTTAAGGGACCAGAAGATGGTGTGGTGGTTAAGATGCTGGACTCCCACATGGCTGACTACAGTTCAAGTCCTGGTCCTCGTGGCATGCTTTCTCACTTTGTCTCATTCTCTCTCTTTCTCTCTCTGGTGAGCACACATGCCCTACAGCAAATTAAAATAATAATAATAACAACAACAAATAAAATTTATTAAGTAATTCTTTTTTAATATATTTTGTTATTTTGGAAAGGTTATTGCTATAGGGTGCGTGAGCTCGCCAGAAAGACAGAAAGCGAGAAATCACTCCCCCAGGGGGGGATGGTCATGCCTCAGTCCTTTCTCCTCCATTCTCCTCTCAGGATCTTGGGCATGCACACACATGTGCCCGGCGTGAGTTTAAGCCACTGAGTCTAGGACTCGAACTGCGGTTGACTAAATGGGTGTCCAGCGACAAAGCCATTATGCCAACTGCTGGTCCCTTTATTATACTTTTTAAAGGTATTTTAAAAGTTTAAAATGTATGATTATAAAACTTATATTTTAGTTTACAGAAAGTCTTTGTTAAAATAGATCTTTCTAAACTTTAAGTATGATAATTAAAAAATTGCTAAAAATGTTTTCTTGGCACTCAAGATAAGCGATAATAGAATTTATATACCTGTGCTTTCTAGTTCAGAAAATATACCGTAAATATACAATGCCATTTGAGTTACTTATTTTAATCCAGCTGTAAAACTTCAAGTTTAATAATTAGTTTTAAAGTCTGCCCAATCTCTACATTTTTTACTCACTGCCTGAAAAAAAAAAAAAAAATGGAGGGAAAAAACAGAATCTTAAGAAGAAAAAATAACTGACCAAAAGCTAGATTGGAAAATAAAGGCCTCACTTCCATACAGACAACTCAGAAATAAAATTATGCATCTGAGTTAGAAGAGATTTCAAAAGTTCAGATGCCCTAACTCTTATCTCCAAAAAGTACTGTATCTTTTTTTAAGAATTATTTCATTTAATTTTATTCATTATCATCATTATTATTTTTCAATTTGACAAAAGAGCAACAGAGAGAGAGAAAGTGAGAAAGCGAGCTGCCGAGTCCAGGACTTGAACTGTGGTTGGCCATGTGGGAGTTCAGCACCTTAAACACTATCCCACCTGCCATTCCCCCTCTAGTATATCTGTTTTTAAATATCATATATAAGCAAATAAGATCCACAGAGGTTAAGAGACTTGCATAACATCATGTCGCTAAGTAATAATATAGGAGAAGCCAGAATCCAGGTCTTCTGTATCTGAATACAAAGCTCTACTAATTTACACTGTTTCCTTGTTAAGTTCAAGGTGAGTTATTTTAAATAAAGAAATCATACTTTAGATTTTCTGATATTCACCCTCATTGTCTTTTGTCTTTTTAATCACAGTTGTAAATTCTGATAGCATTACAACAGAAATACCTCAGAACATGAGGCCAGCCAGTGGTGTGTTGTTTAAGGTGGCTAGATCGACTACACAGTTTGAGTCCCAGACCTGATGGCTTGAAAAACATGCTAGGTACATATGCATATGCATGTGTGCCCAAAATCTTGAAAGGAAAAAGTGAATAAGAGATTGTTTTGTGACCATCCCCTCTGGGGAGTGCTTTCTCACTTTCCCTTTCTCTCTCTGTGTCTCTCTCTGGTGAGCACATGTGCCCTCTGGCAAACTGAAAGGAAAAAAATCTCAGAATATGATGGTTTTTAAGTTTCATATATGTCACAAAAACGAGTATAAACAATTACTTACACCTCAGAATAGTACCCTCAATGATATGCTGTTTCTCATTGTCATAGTCCACAGGTGTTGAGGAAAACAAAGAAGAGGCCTAAATTAGCTAATACATACATATCTTTTAATAAATAACACTTGGTATTCTGTTGAGTGGCCATTGCCTTCTTATTTAAGAGAGAATGAGATGTGGTCTTATTAATGGGACCTTTCTTCATCCTTCATGCTATCCCAGAGTAAAGAGACAGAGACACTGGATCAGCAGGTGGTGTGGAGGTTAAGGCACTGCATCCCATATAGCCAACTGTGCAGTTCGAGTCCTGGACCCAGGGCTTGAGAACATGCCAGGCATATATACATGCATGCCCAAAATATCAAGAGGAAAATGGGAAAAAAGGGATTTTGGTGTGACCATCCCCCCTGGGAATGATTTCCTATTTTCCCTCTTTCTGTCTCTCTCTGGCAAGTGCACACATCCTATAGCAAAAACTTTAAAAAAAAAAAAAAAAGAGAGAGAGAGAGACAAAAACATTCATGAATTCCAAAGTGAAACTGAGACAGAATAGAGTAAGGGAAAAGAATTAATTTTTGGACTAAGGCAAGGTTGAGGAACTCATTATTGGAACTTTCTCTCAGAACCTGCCAAACTGCAAAATCATTTCTTAAAGGAATTAGACTTTGCCTATGTTATCAGCTCTGGCTTTTCCTAAGAATGCCATTATAAAGCATTAGTTATAAGACCCATGCAGCTCGACAACATCACAACAAAAATTGGAGAATCATCTAGCATGCTCTCAATCACTGACAACATCGGTATAAGTATGAATTACCCTAAACGGCAATGAAATAAAAATAAAAAATAGGAATGGGAAAATGTCTACGTTAATTTTTTTTTTTTTTAACCTTACCTTAAATTCCTTCCCCCAAGATTTATAACCAGTCAATCAGTACAGGAAGTAGTAGAGAAACACAGTGAAATAATACCTGACAGCCTCTCTTCTCTATTTCCGTAACACATTTCTGTATCAGGAGCGGCACCATCAATCCTGCATTTTCTTTTTCTACAACTTTTTGAATGTCAACACCAAATATTACTGGTTCTCGATTTATATCTAGTCCATGAAGAGAATTTTCCCACTGTTCCATAAGAGTCACTTTCACATAAATAAGACCTCTAGGTTCAAGTTTGACTGCCAACTGATGTGTCTTTGTCACTCTGAATAGGGTAGGGAGAACAACAGTACCATGACAACACACTCGATTTTTTCTTGGAGTGGGTTCCCAACTGAATACTACTAGTTTCAAATGTTGTGCATTTTCGATTTCTATGTTGAAAGTGTGATCCATGTCCAAAAATGTTGTCCGGCATGTGAGCAAAGCTGTTCTTGCTTTGTTTACTGAATCTACCTGAATTGCACAAAAGACATCTTTTGAATCTATCCGGGGTGGTTTTAAATCCTCAGCACCATAGAAATGCACACTCATGAGTCCAGATATGTACTGTGAACACTTCGGTTGATCAGAGAAGCTATAATGTCTAAAAGCATCAATGTCTATTTCGTTCTTGCTACAACTACTTGGAATTATTTCTTTTCCTTTTCCAAATTTGTTATCAGATCCTTGTTTACTAGATTTAGTTATAGGTTCAGGTGAATCTCCATCACTGAGGTATCCACCTTTGCAGGAATACTTAGAACTCACAGAGGTTTTCTTCTGGAAGCTGTGCTGAGAAGACACACTGGTATCAAGATGGTATCGGCTTATAACATTTCTCTTAGCAGCTGTGCTTGTGTTCCCAGAAGGTAGAATAGCAGTAGGGTGAATTTTTTGATAGTTACATTTAGACAAGGAAGGAGTATTATCTGGACTGTTTACATAATTCGAGTTTCCCTTAACACTCAGCTTTCGGCTAAACTCTGGTAACCTTTTCATTTTCATGGAAAGTTTCCTCACAGTTCGTGGAGATTTTATTTTATCTGGCAAAGACCAATTAATTGAACTGCCTTTTTTTATGGGGCTAGGGTTTGGAGAAGATGGTTCTATAACTCCCAATTCAGTCCTAGTTGTAGCAGGTGGGACTCCAGGACCTTAGAAAAGAAAAGAAAAAAATACATTATAAAGTGATATGTTCTGATTTTTACTTTTATTCCTATTTTATAAGCCATCAACTAACCAAGCTCTCACAGAGATGGAAATCCTCCCTTGTTTGATCTCAATGGGATATTTAGTTATAAGTTCAAGTCAACCTCCAGTACCATGTTCAAACAGAATACAAAGATTGCCAAGTGGCTTATAGACAAAAGAGGCAACTTCCTCTCCATCTATCCTATAGATTTGAAGTAAGGGTAATATAGGTCCTTTTAAATCTTTCCCACTGCAATATACTTCAGTGTGTTATTTTATAACCGTACCAGTGGATATCAGAGGAAGTTAGGAAAGGTTCTTATTTAAAATCTGTGTGTTGGGGGAACAGCAGATGGTTACATCACTAGACTACCACAGAGTTGACCACAGTTCAAGGCCCAGACCCAGTGGCCTAAAACATGCCAGGCATATGTATGTATGTGCCCAAGATCCCAAGAGGATAATGGAGGAGAGGGGATTGTGGCCTGGCCATCTCACTTGAGGGTGACTTCTTGCTTTCAGTCTCTCTGTCTCTCCAGTGAGTGCCTTATAGCAAAAAATCTCTCTTTAAAAAACAAAACAAACCAAAACAAACAAACCAAAAAAACACTCTTTGTTGGGGCTAGCAGATGTCATGGTAGTTAAGGTGCTGGACTCCCACATGAGTGACCACACAGTTCAAGTCCCAGACCTGATGACTTGCTTTCTCATTTTCTTTCTCTCTCTCTCTGGTGAGTGGATGTGCCCTATAGCAAATTTTAAAAATAATAATAATAAAAAATTAAATTAAATAAATGCTTTTTTTTAAAAAAAAAACTTTATGTTAACTAGAAATCCCTCTCTAACATAAGGACAGCTCTTCTACATTTATAATCCTCTAAACTTAAATGTTATCACAAAGCTGTTCTGGTCTTTAAAAAAAAAGAAGTTTAAAATCAAACAAGTTTAAAATTTTGATAGCCAAGAGCAACTCTTTGTTCTATAATTTTGCTAGAATATATCACCAAAGATTATATAGGGTAAACACTAGTCAATCAAGAATAACTGAATACTGAATATCATAAATCTAACTGCATAATTTTCAAAACTATTAAGACATTTCCTTTCTTATACTAATCTAATACAATAATTCCATATAACTTAAAAAGTTCTTTAAGGTTTTATTTATTATTTCAATGTGTTAAATAATACCATGGAAATATAAACCGTTTTTCTTTTCAGTTTTAGTTTTCATAAAAAGTAAAGCATTGAAATGCTTTAAAACTTTTAAAAAAGAATTATTTAATTTATTTATTCATTCATTTATTTTTAATTTGACCAGAAAGAGACACACAGAAAGAGAGAGGGAAAGTGAGAAAGCAAGCCACCAGGTCCAGGACATGTGTATGTGCCTAAAATCCCAGGAGACTAGAAGAGGAAGGACTGCAGTGTGGCCATTCCCCCTGGAAAGTGCCTTCTCGTTTTGTCTCTCTGTCTATCTCTGTCTCTCCAGAAAGTGCATGTGCCCTAAAAAAAAAAATCTACTGAAGTTTAAACCTCCCCAGTTTAAAAAAAAGAAAGTACATACAAATCAATTTTTTTTAATTTTAAACTTAATCTTGTTAATACATACTAATAAATGAGACAAAAATATCTTCTAGAAACTAATATTATATAAATTGTTCTTTTAAAGAAACAATCTAATATCATCCCAGTTATTTAAAATTTAAATTAATTTTTCATATTTTGCTTACTTCTTACTGTGAAAGTTTAATAACTTAGTATCAGAAGCTAATCTATGTAACACTGTATTTCACAATTAAAATGAGAAAAACTGTTCATTCATTTAAAAAATCAATAGATAACATGACCTTTCTTTAAATATTAACATAATATTCTCTCTCTACCCCTCTCTATGTGTCCTAGTGACAAAGAGGTAGTTTCTTTATAGAGAAAGGATTATTTAAAATATGCCTATTGGGCTTTTCTGTAAATAGCTAATAAGAAAGGAGTGCTTGATAAACTGGACAAAGCAATCTCTTGTACTACAAATATAGTACAATTCTACTGGCTTACTAGTCTAAAATAGCCTATGGTATCAAAACCCTCCTTAGTCTACAAACATTCATCTATTTTGTCACGGCCTAGGAAAAGCTGCATAATATATTAAATTGCTCTAGATTTCATGAACTTACTAACAAGTTTAACATTCCTATTCTTTTTATACATTGTGAGTAAATAATTCTCAGTGAAGCCGTTTTTTTATTTTGTCAGAGGGCACACGAGCTTGCCAGAGACAGAGGTATAGAGAGATGGAGAAAGAGAGAAAGCACACCCCAACGGGACATGGTGATGCCACAATCCCTTCTCCATTTCTCCATCCTATCAGGATCTTGGGCGTGTATACATGCACATGTGCCTGATTTTTTTTTTTTTAAGAATTACTTTTTTAATTGAACCTTATTTATTTATTTATTTTAATTTGACCAGAGAGGGAGAGAGTGCTGCGGGGGGGGGGAGGGTGCGGGGGGGGGGGGAGGGTGAGAAAGCAATCCACTAGGTCCAGGACTCATACAGTGGGTGGCCAATGGGACTCCAGCACCCTTAATTAACCACCATGCCACCTGCAGGCCCCACCTGGTGTTTTTCAAATCATTGGTGCTAGGATTTGAACTGCTTGATAGGCTATATGGGATCTGGCTCTTTTAACTAAGGCCACAAAGTCTGCCCTCCCAGTGAAGTTTTAACTACTTGTCTCTCCCTCTTTTTTTTTTTTTTTTTTTTTAATTGTCAAAGGGTATAAACACTTGCCAGAGACAGAAAGAAACTGAGGGTAGGGGAGAGAAAGCACCCCTCAAAAGAGTGTGGTCATGCCACAATCCTTTTCTATTCATTTTTCCATCACATCAAGATTCTGGGAACACATGCGCATTAGATAGAATCTCATACACGAAATGCTTTATTCTTACAAATCAAAAACTGTTCAGTATAAGCATTCCGTGTGGTTAACTTTATACCAAACTCTGATTATTTCCTTTTTTTAAAAGATTTAATTTTATTTATTATTACTATTATTTTTTCATTTTAGCTGAAGTGCATGTGTGCTCATCAGAGAAAGACAGAGAGAGAGAGTGAGGGAAGAGGGGGATAAAAAAAGGTGAGAAAATAAGCTGCCAGGACCAGAACTCAAACCACAGTCAGCCATGTAGGAGTCCAATGCCCTAACCATCATACTACCTGCTGGCCCCCAGGTCTGCACTTCTGCCTCTCATTTCCTTTTCTCTTCTCCCTTTTCTTTATTCATGAGGACATTTATGCATAAAAACACAAACTAGGGGGCTGGCAAGTGGCATGGTGGTTAAGGGAGCAGGACTCCCACATGGCCAACCACTGTTTGAGTCCCAGACCTGATGGCTTCCTTTCTTGGGAACCAGCAATTAGCATAATGGCTGTGTCGCTGGACTCCCACGTAGTCG